TCGGGCTGGATAATGAACCCCATACCCGACCCATTCAACAAACTAATAAAAGGGTGAGCAAGAAAACAAAATAGGGTTCCTAAGAACCCCATCCGCGGCGACCATATCCCCATGAGGGTTGCTGCATTTTGGCTCTCTTCAATCCCTCTTCGTCTTCTCCGTAGCTTTTCCTCTTCTTCTTCGTAGCTTTTGTTCTTCTTCTTCCATTTACGGTTTCTGCAAAAAAAAAACCAAAATCACGTTAGAAAACTGCTCACCTCTGGGTTTGAAGCGGTTTTGATGATCGTCGTGTGGATGACGGTTTTTGGTGGTTATTGAGGATGGCCGATGATGATTATGACTGAGGCCGCGAGTTCGTTTTCCATTCAACGGATTGTAGTCTGTTTTTGTCCGTATGGCTTGTTTGCGGACGCGGATTGATGAGGTTGATGATGACGGCGATCCATTTTGTGTTGGTTGTGCGATTACGGATGAACGTTTTGCTGTTATTCGTTGGTGATTTACGCTTGGCCTCCGTTTTGATCTTTTAGGGTTTTCCAGATCCCCCCCTTTTGATGTTCTGCTGTTGATTTTATATTATGGTTTTTTCTCTTTTCTGGGCCTGGATCTTGTTGCGTTTTTTCTTATGATTTTGTTTTGAAACAAATTATTACGGATTTGTTGGTGATGGCCTTTTCTTAGGGTTTTTCTTAATCCATCTTAATTCGCCCCTTTTGATGTTCTGGTATTATTTTTAACATTTTGATTTTGTTTTGGAACAAGAATTTTCGGAGAAATTGTTATTATTTGCTGATTTGGATCTTGATTTGTTCCTTGCCCGTGATTTCTGGTTGATTGAGATGATCTGGACTTGTTTTGGTTTCTGCTATTTTTTTGGATACGGATTTTGTGATTGTGGGCTTTTTGGATATCCGGATTTTGTGAAATCCAGATTTGGAGACGGACTATGCTTGCTGGATTTTATGGATATCCAGATTTGGCTTGCTGGATTTTATGGATATCCAGATTTGACTTGCTGGATTTTTCTTAAGGAACCGCTCGGCCGCAAAATCACTTCTTCGCAAAACACTTCTCTCTCTCTCTCTCTCTCTCTCACACACACACACACACACACACACACACGCACACAGAAAATTTGAACAGATTTTACCGGATCTGTCGGAGGTCGGAAAATGGACTCGGGAGCTGGCGGCGGAATATTTTCGTTGCCTTTCCGACATGCCCAGTGATGAGAATTTTCTGAGGATCCGAAACAACTAAAAATCAATTTTTTTTATAAAATTAACTTTCTAACCGATTGACATTTTTGTATCTGATGTGTCTGGTTTTGCAGGTTCGGAAGCTCGGAGATTACGAAGAGTCGGATGTGAAGAACTTCAGAGTTAGATCTTTTAGAAAAAAAATAGGATTTAGAATGTAATTTGTATTCCTGAATATGTTGTAATCGGAAGTTGTACAAAAATTGAAAAATATGAGTTCCTATTTTCCGACTAAATTCAGTCCGTATTTCTTTTCCGAATAAACCCGACACTTCACAATCCAATTAACAAGCTTGCAAATACATGAAACCAAACTGAATAGATAAACAGATAACCCATACTCAGTAATAAAAATTTGTGAACATGGCCTTGAATAGATAAACAGACAAATCCATTTTAGTGGCAAAAACGAACTTTCCTCCGCATTTAAATCCAAATTGTATCTTGAGTAACCTGGCATTGTAACATGAATCAATTCAACTGATACTCGCGATCAAACCAACTGATATTTATTAGAACTTTGATGCGAACCAAAATTTCACCGCTCCTCTAAAAATTTACTCGTAACCAGTAGAAAAACAGGAAAACATGCACTTGCTAGAATAAATTCCTTGAGACAAATTATCGCACTGATTCCACCCAAATTTATTTATATTTCAACGCCCTCAACTCCAGCATTTCAAAACCCAACTGACGACTAACTCTGGTTCTCGGCCAAAGATATACTGTATCAAGGATAAACTAACGTCAATACTGTCATAAAAGTTCAAACCATCTTAAGCCAAACGTCTTGTGAATCGAGAGATAGGAAAACCTAGTTGCTTGGGGAATCTCTGAGATTAAATTGACTCTGTAATCATCAACAGACTGACGATACGTTTGCACTTCATGAACTAAAGCGCACACAGTGTTATTTTCTTGCAAAAACAAACAGACTGAGCAAACCGGTTAGCGGTTAGTTAAAAACAAAACACGGAATAAATGAAATGCAAAATGAACCTAATGATCTAAGGATAAATTTTGGGGTATGACAAGGAGTATTAGATTCTTCATCTTCATCAGAAGTAGTCTCCTCTCTTTTTCTTTTTCCTCTACTACCATAAGCATCAGGATACTTATTAGGAAGTTGATCATATGTTATGGTTATTCCATATTCCCTCTTAGCTTCTTCAAGAAAGAGCTTGATGACCTTTTTCTTAATACCCTTTGGCCTATAATATCCAAAGAATTGAAATATATCTTCAACTCTTCACATTCTACTTCTAAATCCAGCTTGCCAATATCGTCATGTCTGTTAGCATGCTCTTGAATGTGTAATTTCTTCCAAAAAAAACATGAATTGGTTTTAAAGGAACAAGAAAGCCTTGTATTTGGAAACCAGCAAGTTGACACGTACAAGATAACCCATGTGTAGATCTAATGAAGCAACCATAAATATCTTTGTTTGTATCAATAAAGTTTACCTTTTATAGCTCTTTCCATATGTGTTGTATAAATTGCCTTGAAACAAAACTATGCAAGTTGGCATAAAATGGGGTGTTATACCGATGCTTAATGTTGACAATACTTTTTTAAAACGACACTCTGATTGAACCTAACTGCAACTTCAGCATGGTGTTCACAGCATCCTAACTTGGGCATAAATCTCCCCGGCTTGTAGTCAACATGTTTTTCAGTCTCCAATGAGCATACTCCACCCTAAATCACAATAATTAAACTATAATGAGACAACAGATAAATTATGCTTAGTAATAACATCGAAAAGAAGTTGGTGTACCTGTTCATTGTTGTGTTCCCTAAATGAGTTACTCTGTTAGTCCAAGCAGCCACAAACCTTTCTTTATAAGGTGTCAACAATGTCTCATTCACATACTTAACAAACAAAGGTATATCAACACAAACAATCTCAAAGTGCTTCAAATGTGCGAGATACTCAGTCTCTCTATTAGCATACATGATGTTGTTCCATAGATCTAGGACATGTTCATGTCTTTCTGATTCAATATACTCCTTACACTTTATGCTAACATTTTTGTAATGTGGAACGAACATAACATATGTGTTGAGTTCGGAAACACAACTTGAATTGCATTCATCAACGCAAGTTCTCGGTCTATCACAACAACATTGGGTAGCAATTTATTGGAAGAAAATAACTTTTTGATCTTCTCAAGTTCCCATGTGAAGTTCTCCTCCTTTTTTTGTTCCAAATAGGCAAACCCTACAGAAAATGTCAACTTTATTGATGTTACGCCAATAATCTCGAACAGTGGTAACCGGTACCTGTATGTTCACGATTCAAATAATCAAAAATCTGATAAATCAAAGTATGTCAAAATGGTATCAAGGTATGATCAAGATACATTACACATTACATATTGGTATTGTATATACAATAAAAAATCAACACCAAGTGAACCATATTCAACAACTTTACTGAATCAGAATGTGTCCAGAAGATATCAACAACAACATTTAAGTCTTCCCTATTTCTTGTCCAGCACATGTACTTTTCTTTATGAATATGAGTAAACAATATTTGTATTTCTGTCAATGAACCTCTCTTACTCGCATTGTACGTAGCTCTAGCTTTAAACTCTTGGATAATACTAGTGAGATTTTCTGGATTTTTGCCTTTCAAGGAAGAAACTATGTACCTTGGAGGCATGTTGTACTTTGCCATTTCATTCACAAGCTATCTCTCATGATCTTTAGACAATCCAATATGTCACGACCATCTAAATCCTCAGATAGTTTATGATTGTGAAGCTCACACCTAACCATCACCTTCCAACCAATACCACTTGGCGAAGATTTCAGCCTAAAAGGACATTTCACTTTCATACTATAAATGTCATCTGAAGATTTACTACTTTCAGATGTATTTTTTCTTTTATAATTCCTCCTCTCTCACAATCCATAATCAATTTATCCTTCCTACCTCGTTGGCCATTTACAGTATCAGAGTGAACAATCACAACTATAATACTATGTTGCTTGCCAATATATTGTGCTCAAGCTAATACTTCAACTCAACTCTCAAATATATGTCGTTTACATTACATACAAAATAGTATTAATATCATATAACGCAACGAAAATATTAAATTTTAACTTGTTACATAGAAACATACTTTGTCTCTGGTGAAGAACTGCGAGAAATCGCTACACGAATCTGTACTGACTCTGCTGGTTTCGGACTGCACAAAGCAAGTATTTTTGAACTTTCAATTATGTTATCGGAAATTTCTATTGCATGCAAAATTTCCAAAAGTTTTTGCTTGGTACCGAAAATTTTTAAAATTTTTAATATTGATGTCAAAATGTTTATGGTCTCCACCGGATATTTCTAAATTTCCGGTATAAAGTACCATATATTTACAAATTTTCAGTAATATATACTAGATTTTTTGAAATTTCTAGTATAAACATGAGAATGTGTAATTTTTTTTAAAAAAAAAATTTATTTTTATTTTTTATTTTTATTTTTTAATTAATAAAAAAATTGTGTTGAGCGTAGTTATTTCTATTTAAGAATTTTTCTATAAAAGTTATAAAACTTAATATTTTAGACAAATTTAAATATGTTTTTATTATATTTAATTATTTACTTAAATTTCAAACATAATAGTATTTTTTTTTTATAATATTTTAGCCTATTTAGATTAACTGTATCTAACACTTTGTTTTAACTTTTTTATTCTCCACAAATTGCTTCCTAAACACTTTCCCTCTCACGGCATGGGTTCTATTAAGGACAACGTTCCAGAACTGGAACATGGCTTTCTTCAGGTTCTCTTCTTCTTAATTCACATATTTATTTTAATAGTTTTTATTTATATATTTATATTGTATGGTTATGAAATATTAATCCGTTTGATAACAGCATGCACTCACTTTACCACGTGTTAGTGATCATAACAGTCCTGTTTTTCAGTTTCACCCAATATTTTGAACTCGTCAATTTCACGAGAAAATCTCTTAATTTTGTTAATTTTTTTTATATATATTTGACTAAAACTAGGGTTAGTTTATGTGAATCACAAAGTATATCCCTCACTCACTCTTAATTAAAACTTGAGTATAATATTAATGCCAGTCAACTGCTATGGATTTGGCGGTGAGTTTCATAAAACCAGTTCGCCACTGATTTTAGTAAATGAAATGTTTCATATTGTTATTGGCTTTCTTATATGAATCCTTAAACATGGATTTGGATTCTGTATTGTTGCGAGCTCAGGCTCAAGCTAATCCTATTCCTTAACAAATGGTATTTTGCTTTGTGATATGATTATTTATTTTATTTCTTAAGGGTGAAAGGGGCGAAGAACGCAAATTTCTTGAGGATGAAAGGGGCGAACAACACACCGGAGATGGTTCTGTTGATTTTAAAGGGAGGCCTTCTATTAAGGACAAAACTGGCAACTGGAAAGCTTGTCCATTTATTTTAGGTATGCATTTTTTTACATTGCCCCGGGGTTTAATGTTTTAGATGATTCATTTTCATTAATATCATGTTTATGCATGTAAATATAAATGACAGGCAATGAATGTTGCGAACGTTTGGCTTTCTTTGGCATTGCAACAAACCTTGTTACCTATCTTACCACCAAACTACATGAAGGAAACGTCTCTGCTGCGAGAAATGTCGGCATCTGGCAAGGAACTTGTTATCTTACACCTGTCATTGGAGCTGTTCTTGCTGATGGTTACTGGGGAAGATACTGGACAATTGCTGTTTTCTCTATGATTTATTTCGTTGTAATGCACTTAAAATAGATATCTTTTCCTAGTCATAAATAATTGTCTCTTGGCATTTTATTATGTGATACTGATATGGCTGTATCTTGTAGGGGATGTGTATCTTGACTATTTCTGCATCTGTGCCATCTTTGAAGCCAGCCGAGTGTTCAGGTTCGGTGTGTCCTCCGGCTAGTCCTTTGCAATATTACCTGTTCTACTTTGGTCTCTATGTAATTGCACTTGGGACTGGTGGTGTAAAATCATGTGTATCGCCTTTTGGGGCAGATCAGTTTGATGAAACTGATCCTGAGGGAAGTGCTAAGAAGGCTTCCTTTTTCAACTGGTATTACTTTTCGATCATGCTAGGCGCTTTGGTGTCCTGCACCTTCGTTGTGTGGGTTCAAGATAATTTAGGATGGGGTCTTGGATTTGGCATTCCTGCTTTATTTATGGGGTTATCCGTTGGAAGTTTCTTTTTCGGTACCTTTCTATACAGGTTTCAAAAACCAAAGGGGGGTCCTCTTACAAGTATGTGCCAGGTTCTGTTCGCATCTGTGCGAAAGCGGAATTTGGTTGTGCCGGAGGATAAAAGTCTCCTGTATGAGACACCTGACAGGCAACCAGGAGTTAAAGGAAGTTGCAAACTGATGCATCATGATGATATGAGGTAACATTTTTCTTGTCGAATATGTTTCTGCACGTAGAAGTTGTATGCAAAATTGAAGTATATTATTGTTAATAATAACTCTTTTCTTTTGGTGTTTAATAAAGATATCTTGATAAAGCAGCTGTAGTGACTGATTCAGACAACAGAAGCTCTAATCCATGGAGGCTTTGCACTGTGACACAAGTGGAAGAATTGAAAATCTTGATTCGCATGCTTCCAATTTGGGCTACTGGCATAATATTTTCTGCTGTCTACGCACAGATGTCAACATTGTTTGTGGAGCAAGGAACTATGATGAACACATACCTTGGTTCCTTCAAATTACCCCCAGCTTCCTTGTCAACCTTTGATGTGCTAAGTGTTGTTTTTTGGGTCCCTGTCTATGACAGGATAATTGTTCGTGTCGCAAGGAGATTTACAGGCAGGAAAATGGGGTTTTCTGTGTTTCAAAGAATAGGAATTGGCCATTTTATTTCTGTGTTGTGCATGCTATCAGCTTCTATTGTGGAGATTAAGCGCCTGCAGCTTGCAAGAAAGCTTGACCTTGTGGATAAACATGTCGCCGTACCCCTTAGTGTATTATGGCAAATACCTCAAAATTTCTTATTAGGTGCATCAGAGGTATTCACACTGATTGGGCAGATTGAGTTCTTCTATGACCAATCACCAGATGCTATGAGGACTTTATGCAGTGCATTGCCACTGGTGAGTTTTTCATTGGGGAATTACTTGAGCTCTTTAATGCTTACTATAGTAACTTATTTCACCACACGAGGTGGAAAGGTTGGATGGATTCCAGATAACTTGAACGAGGGACATCTTGATTACTTTTTTCAACTTATATCTGGACTTTGCTTATTAAATGCATTGCTGTACATAATTGCTGCCAAAATGTACAAGCAGAAGAAAAGATCGTAAAATTTTTCAAGTGTTTATTGCGCTTAGGAGTGGAAGCAGTTCTGGTATTGAGTATTATCTTTGTCATGCCTGGTTGTTATTTCTTTACATTGTTTTGATATTCATCCATGGTACAGTTTTTAAACATTTTTAGTTGAGGCTTTATGATAGTTTATGTTTTAGTGATCCTAATAGTTTAGTGATTCAATTATTTCTTAACTAGGTTGTGGAACAATATAAGAGTTGGTGATTCAATTATTTCTTTTTAATGATCTTATATTGTATGTCTTTTTACTTACTTTCTTATTTTGGTACAATGCATGTCTTTTTTACTTTAATCCATTAGGTGCATTACATGTAAATTCTATGAGTTTGATTATGTACTGGTTGGGAGTACAATAGATATTGTCTCATATGTGGTATGGCACACGAGAGTCTTTAGGTTTTGATATGTTAAAAGTGAATGAACCTAACTGCTTGACTATGTATTTTTATACATGGTCCTCTTACGGATAGACTAGTTTTAGTGCCTATAAACTTGGCCTCAACTTGACTAAGTGGAATGAGGCGAGTCACCCCTAATGTAAGAGATGTTGTTACTACGAAATATACATTTCATAATGGTTGAAAGAAGGATTCCATTATGAATGGTGGTTCGTGGTAACGTAGAGTGTAGTAGTATGTGTCCCGGTACAACCATAATAAAATGTGGAGGTCCGAGGTTCAATACTCAGCGCCAGAATTTTGAGAGACTTTTCAAAATTTCACCACGGTTGAAAGTTACAACCATAGTGAAGTACAATATTTTACCATGTTCATAACTAGCCACCGTTGTGATATGTTCACTTGAGTTTATTATAACTTATGTGGAATGTTTATTTCACCAATTTGTCAATAAATATCTTTCAATCTAATTTAAAAATTAATAATATGACAAATAAAATTATCACTATTACAAAAAACACATTTAACTTCGGTTGAATATGAGGTGTTACCTTGGTTTCAAATGCGAGGTAACGAAAGGTGTCATAGAAAGTGTGTCACTTTACCTCACGGTTTTAATTTAATCGACGTGTAATGTATAAAGGCCATGGATCCATGAATATCCTTTTTGGAATTTTTAAATGGCAAAAATACTTTTCACCTCAGATATGACATTCCACTAACGGGTACAACATCTTTCACCTCGGTTTTGACTTTTCGTCGACGGGTAAAACACGATTGAGTTTATTATTTCACTCATCCCCAACTGAACATATGATACTACAAAAAACTGTCATTAGCCACGTGATTTTCACGCCACAAAGAGAAAAATCATGACACATCCATTATTTAGCAACGTGAAAATTATGTCACAATTTTGCCACGTGATATTCACGTCGCAACACTTTGTCACATGAATTTCATGCCACAAAGTTTTGCTGGTATAGTAGACCTACTAAGCTACAAGGTAGGAGCACAGGGTAGGTTGACAGATTTGTCACGTGGATTTCATGCCACAAAAAGGAATATATGTTAAATTTGCGTCGTGTTTATCACGCCACAAAAATGAGAACATAGATTTGTCATGTGAGAGCAATTGTCGTATTTGCTCTTCAATCTCAAATTGTTTCTTCTTCATTGGCTACATTCGGGTATTTATCGCCGCTTCACGTTCTGCCGTCTCGCGTCTCGTCTCAGTTAGTGCTAGTTGTCTCACTATTTCCATCATTTTGGGTGTGTCAATTGTGGTGGACGTGATGTTCCTTCCCCATCTGCAACTCTTTCAAATAAATTTCTATCCCTTATTTTGTAGTTGTCGGCGAAAGATCCTAAACCAAAAAAGCACCCATTAGGTCTTTTTCCGCCATTTATTAAATTTCAAATATAAAGATCCACATGTGAATCAATCGGATCTGAACTTATTGGAGTATACTTAGGATTTTGAACTAGAAATTCTCTGAGCAATGTCTAATAGTCCTCCTAGTCATACAAGAAAAATAATTTAATTAAATATAGTTTAAACAATTTAGTTATATACAAGAATCAAATAAAATAAAATAATGAAATGTAGCTACGTGATTTTCATGCCACAAACAACATTAAATTAGTTGTCACGTGAAAATCACGCCACAAATTTTCCATTAAATTAAATATAATTTAAATTTTTTTAGTAATATACAAGAATTAATTTAAATAAAATATTAAAATATAAACAACTTACCAAAGCTCTTCTGGTACGTTCGTCAACAAAATCCCTGACTTTTTGGTACGAGTCTTTGCAACCGGCTCATTCATTTGTGGGGTCTCCCCAAATTCTTATCCTAATTAAAAAAATTAACTTTAGTTAAAAATATATAGTAAATCAAAATATAACTTAAAAAGTAGTTATAATTACCATGTGTTAAGCATGTTCGGCGATAATAATATTTACAATTATATTAAGGCTACCCCCCTTTTCAGATGCTCTCATTTTCTTTGTAATTTTAAATTTTGCCTTAAAATAAGATGAATCCCAATTGATAAATACTTCCTTGTCTATCTAGTTACGATGAACATTTTGTTCTTTCCAACCACGTTTAGCACACTGTAACATGTCAGAAAGTCGAACTGCTGTTATGTCCCAATTTTTTTAATCATATCCTCATTTATTACTTCCCATGTACATTTTTCCTGTAGTGTTGTATGACATTCAAATAAATTGTTAGATACTTATAATAAAAAAGTAATTAAAATATCAATAACTTAAAATAAATTCATTATACCTTAAATTCTTTAAACTAAACGTCTTTTCACCCGAGGAAAGTTCTCAAAATCTCTTCCAAGTTTTTTTTATACATTTGTTGAATAACATAATTTATACATTTGGCAGCAATCCGACTCGGCTCGAAACTAAACAACAACAGTTTGAATAAGTATTAAATATAAAAAATGTCAACATGTTTACTTAAATAAAAAATTATAAATTAGAAACTTACGATTTTCCGTTGGGCCAAATATAACATCTTCCATCAATCATCTGATACTCACTCAAATGTGCAGCGCGATCCTCCAAAATAGGGTCATCCTGCTCCTCGTGACCGTCCTCATCTTTCCCTTCATTATCGTTTTCATCTTGCTCATCATGGTCCTTCTCACACACAAGTATATGTGGGGTAGGTGAGGTTATTGGGTCCCCTAGGATGCATGGATTATGAGGGTGTGTATGTGGTAGGTGAGGTGTAGGATCCCTCAAGATGCATGGATGATTAGGGTATGTGTGAAGGATGCGGTATGCGAGATCCCCTAGGATACTTGGATGGTGAGGGTATGTGTTAGGGATGTGGGTGAGGGATCCCTCAGGATACATGGATGGTAAGGGTATGTGTGTATGAGATGATGTGGGTATGGAGAGCTAGCTCCCCAGACTACATGAAGGATAAGGGTGTACATCCCGGAAATTATTTGGATGGCAGAGGTGCGAAACTGAAATTTCTAACTTAGCTGAGACATTTATTATCGTGATGGTAATGTAGGAGCCTTAGACCAACACACATGGGTCGACCCCTGATGTCGGATGGTCGATTCCTTAAAGCAATTAAGGGTCAAGCTAAGGGTCAAAAACTGTTTCAAAGTGATTAATAAATCAGTTACAAGTACTTATTGAAGTCTGTTACAAGTAATTAAAGAATAGTTACGATTACTAATAGTTTTGACATTACAAAGGTGTTTAATGGTTATTAGATCAATTAAGCTAAGGTTATGCTATAAAAAGGGAAGCAAAGACCAAAAATAAAGGGGAAGAAGATGAATAATATAAAAAGCAGCAAATCTATTAGAACCTTGGTTCATCAACAATGGTGACTATCAATCCTAGTTCAATCACAGACACTCCAACCACACATTTAAGACCTTCATGTCGTACCTTAAAAGAATACGATCCTCGCGAAAGATGTAAAAAAAGTTGTTCGAACAGAGTCACCGTCGAATTTTAATTTATTCCAATGAAGGAATAGGAAAACATCGAGAAAACCTTTTTTAAAAATAGAAAATGGTCACAACAACCATATCTGGGTTCGGGAGTCAGTTGCTTAAACATGAGAAAGAAATCTCGCATCCAATCAGCTGGGGAGAAATTTTGAAGACTCAAAACTCCTTCCTTAATGTTTTATGTATGTTTTAATTTATTTAGGAAAAATCCTCGATGTTAATCGAGATTTAGATGTGAGACGTTGCGAATTTCAAAATGCTTAACAAATAATCCTAATGACTAAGGTTGATAGCGATCATAAACGACCGACTTACAAGGTATTCGGAAATCAAAACTCAACCATGTTAGCAAACGACTAAGTCCTTACTTCACAACAAGATGTGCCAAAAAATATAATGCCAGAATAAGGATTTAAATTCAGACAATCATCAAGATCCAAATTAACGCCTAATTAGAATCATACTAAGGTTTATTACTAAAAGATCTAATCATGATAAGATTATGATTAACATTTAATTAAAATAAATTAAATTTAATTCAAATTTTAATAAGCATTAATCAGAATTTTAATCCCAATTAAAATCTAAACCACATCTAAACTCTTAACTTAATAAAAAAAGGTTTAAAAAAAGAAAAAAGAAAAAAGAAAATCTAAAACAAACAAATTAGGGTGCTGACATTAAAAGGTAGAGTGCAAAAGGATATTTGCACTCATACCCACGACCCATGATAAATAAAAAAGGAATGAATTTGAGAACAAAAAGGGCATGTTGGGCCGAGTACTGTCCACTTGAACACTTTAAGAACCTTTGGATCTTGAATGTGAAGTCCTTGTAATTTGTGAATCCAATTTATAAATCCTTAATTGAATTTTGAATTTTGAAGCATGGAAAGGATGTTGAAACTCTTTGTATACTTTGAATTTTTTGGAATTGATTTGAACTTGTAAACCTTCAAAGTTTGTATCTTCATTAATCTTGAAATAATGACTTGAATTAGATGAGCTTGAATTGTAATGAGTTTTGAGTCTTGAACTTTGTCATGATTTTAAATTGGTGAATTTTTCATGGTG